CATCCAGGAGCAAAGGCCGCTCCTTATGTCCGATGGAGCGAGCTCACATCCAGGAGCAAAGGCCGCTCCTTATGTCCGATGGAGCGAGCTCACATCCAGGAGCAAAGGCCGCTCCTTATGTCCGATGGGCCTTCAGTCTGTGCTCTGGAGGCGACACCAATGTGAGTCTGTTGAAGTATAAGTGGGAGAGGCCTGTTCCGCTCAGCTGCATGAACCCGTACTGCTTCCCGGAGCCGCCGGGGGGGGGCTGATTTTTGGGACTTTGCCCTTTCTGGCCCATTCACTGATTCCAACTGTGCTGCTGCTAATCTGCTGGCCTGGTTTACATGCTTCACTGTTGTTTCAGCAGATGGTGGTTCGATAATCCACCTGTCTTCATCGGCAGCCGTAAAACTGGGAGGAGCCACATGACAGGGAGACAACAAGTTCATTCCAGATGGGAGTTTTGCACTAAAGCTGCTTGTAGGTGTGTGAATGCAGTGTGTGCAGCACAGAGTGGATATGTGTGGGTTTCTCCTTGCAGAAGGCCTTATTTGGCTCATGTTTGACCAGTTCCCTCCTCTCCAGTCCCAGAGGAGCTCTTGTTTCCGTCTGGCCTTGTAGGGCCATCCTCCTTCTCACACACACCCACTGAGAGCCTATTGGACCTTCATGACACATAATATAAAGCACACACACTGCCTGAGCTTCAGATGAAAGAACACAGAAGGAAGGACACGTCTTCATTATCAGTTAAAGATGAAACAGGAAGCTTTGCTAAAAGAGAGTAGATACGGAGACACATTACTGCCAAGTAAGCTGCACATTTTTCCAGTTCTGGAATTAAAGTCCTGCTTTCTAATTTGTCCATGAGAGGATAAAGTGTTAATGTTGGATGGGACGGAGAAATTCCTGCTCAATGGTTTACACCCACATGAAAAAGTCCGATCATAGCAACAATTTTAACCGTCTACACGGTCTGAAAATATGTGCAACTTATCAAATACAGAATATTTGCTAACATGTAAAACAATGTGGAGCCAGACTGAAAGCACAGAGATAAGCCTGATCCAACGTCAGGCAACGACTGCAACTTAGTTAAGTTTGTCCAAGTTAAGGTCGTTCATTTAAGTTGGACTTTAAGTATTTAGAATATCTTGAATAAAGGATTCAAACTGAAGTCAATTAAAAGTTTATAGTTTTTGTAAATAAGGTGAAACTGATACAAAAGTACGTTATGATGGAAATAGATGTTGAATGCAAATGCTATTATATCTGTTTTTAGCATTTTATGGTAATCAGAAAATGAAGCAACTCTATGTCTGCTGGCCTCTAACCTCTAGAATGCTTTTATTTTGGGTGAACCACAAACTTCAGTGTAATATATTTGGATTTTATATTTTATATTTGGACAGCTTGCCTCATAGATTTAGATCAGACGATGGTGAAACCTTCTGGTCTGCATATAAAGAGCCTCTCCAGTAGAAAACCCTTCCGTGTTGAAACACAGCGGGGGTAGCATCCTGCTGTGGGGGGCTGCTGGCAGCTAAGGTCCGACATTCACTGCTTTAGCAGGACAATAAACTGAAGCAGCCAGAGCTGGATGCCTAACAGAAGGTTAGATGAAGGCAGGAGGAGTAAATCCAGCTTCTAAGGGCCTCTGAGTGTTTTAGGTTTTTCTCTTCTCCAAAACGCTTCAGTCATGTTGGAGTTACCTCTTTACAAAGTCAGAAAGTTGCTTGAGGTGTGATGAACCAGGGAAACATCTAAAACATGTACTGGCTCCTGGGATTGGTGTTCAGATCCGAGGCTAGAGCTAAATGCAGTGGAGAGGTTTGGTGTTTGTCTTCATGCTAAATCCACCTGACCTATAGGAACTGAGACTAACTTAGAGTTAGACAAACTTTGTCATCTTGTACACAGAGTGTAAACAAAAGAAACTTTCAATGCAAACAGCTTTTCAACAGTAAATGAGCAGCTCAGCAGTGAAATAAACATTTCCATATGTAAAGTGCAGCAGTGATCAGAATGTAGACAGTGTGGGAAAAAAGGAAAACCAGTTTAAAGGCTTGGAGTAAAAGGTATTGATATGGAGGGTTCAGTGCAGAATAAATAAATATGGTGCAAAATGCAGCAGAACATTAAGATGATTTCTATTTAAAGGGATTATGAATAATCAGCCATGTTGGGGGTTCAATTATTATGTTTACATTATGAATCAGA